TTCGAGAAAGAACGTGTTTTTCTCGAAAACGACACCTTTCGAGTATTTCGTATTTTTCGACCGGAAGGAAGCATTTGCTAAGGCTAAAAAGTAGTTTTCCGTGATCAGCAGCTCCAGCTCTATCCAACGATGTAAAGAAAACACGAAAAAAAAATTTACTAAAAGTTTGAATTGCCTGCACCTTACCATCAGCCGCATCAGTAAGATCTAAGGCTGCATCTGTTTTCACGGGTGTAGTGAAAACAATGAGTGCATTAATGACAGAGGCCATGATTCGCATGGAAAGAGCACAGAAAATTCAGGCAGAAGCTTTAGAGAGAGTCATGAAGAATGCATAAGAAATACAGGCAGATGCACTACTACGAGTCTTCAGTCAGCAGAAAAATTCTGCACCTACATTGCCACCAATGTAGACAGCTTCAGCTGCCGCTAATTCACATACATCAGTTATTTCATTGCCTGTTAATGTTTTTAATGCTTCAAATTTCGATGTTTCTCAATGTACAAGGTCATTACCACCAGATGGTGAGAACAAAATAGAAAAATTAGTACCATTAGATGCATGGATTTCATGTCATCGACCCAAAAATTATCCACTATTTATTGCTAAAAGTGATTCGAGTACACAGACTGAGATCTTGCCGTTGAGTGCATCGGCTAAGATTTCTAAGGAAAAATCAGCTCGTCTTTCCAAGCCAAACGGAGAAGTTTCTACGCCTGCTCCAAAGCTAAAAATTCTCTCTGCGCCTTGCCGTGAATTAAGTTCTTCTAATAGTGAGAAAAAGAATGCTAAATCAAAATCAAAGTTTATATCAAAACTTGCGAATAGTCGCAAACAACAGATTTCGCTGGCACCATCATCGTCTTCTGACAGTTCATACAGTGATGATAATACAGAAAGTTCAGAAAGACGTATGCCTTCAAAGCCAGAAAAGAAGAACCAAAACAAAATAAGACAGCATCTAATCAAAGACCAATTTTACAGTCTGATTCCGATAATAAGGATGAGGATATTAATTTTAACGGGAGAGATATAACATCACAATGCCGAAAGAAGAAAAAAGAAAAAAGAAAATTTTCTAGTTCTTCGTCTCGGTCAAGTACGACTGAACGAGCAGCAAATTTGCAAGTCACTGTGAATGACTCAATTAGCCATTTTAGTGGTAAGACAAATGAACAACCGAATAAATTTTTACATGAATATCAACAAACGATGAGAACTCTTTTCCGTGCTTCAAATTTACAATTACTTCGAAATATCTGTAATTGGTTGTCAGGTCTAGCTCGTGATTGGTATCTACAACTTTTACAATCACGTCAGTTGCCAAACAGTTGGTCTGAATTTAAAAAGATGTTTTTATCGCGTTTTCGTAGTCTCGAGCGTGTTGAAGCTCTGAAATTTGAGCGTAGTCATTGTGCTCAAGGTGAAAATGAGACAGTCGAAGATTTTTATCAAAGATATTTAGGATTAAATCTTGAGATTAGTCCGAAAATAAAAGAGAAAGTTTTGAAAAAACAACTTCTCAGAAAATTGAGGCCTGAAATTCTTCTTTGGATGAAAGGTAATCCTGACAGTATGTCTTTAGATGACGTTCTAAAAAAGGCTGAAAAAGCTGAGCTTCAATTACTCTATCGTCGTAAGGAAGAAACGCAAAAAGTAAATTCACGAGAATTATCTCGTTCGATAACTTGTCAACCAATAAGTATAAAAACACCGGAAACAACTGTTGTTGTCGACAACCTTGAGTATTCTTCTTCATCACCTATGTTTTCAAATACAATAAAGAAAGGAGATGATTCGTTTACTCCTTCACCTAAAAGTGAAAGAGATAATAATGATTTTCGTAAAAAGCCAGCATTAGTGTTCGACCAAAGGCGAGATAATAATAATAATAATAATCAGAGCAACAGTAGTATCAGTCTAATTTTGATCCGGCAAATCGATCGTTTCAGAGTGGAATTAAACAACCACCGGGACCTTGCCCCATTTGTCATAAAAAAAGGCACGACGATAATGTCTTTTAAATTCGAGTTTCTATGCAACTTATGACTAGTTTATTTTTAACTAAATTAAGAATGCATAGAAGACAAAAAATAGTAAGAAGTGGTTGAACGGCCGCTACAAATACGTCCAAACTGAAAAATACCTTCATGTGTTACAAAAGCTGTTTTTTCTTTACTCTCTTCATCTAGCTCGATTTGCCAAAATCCTGATGAGAGGTCTATGGTGCTGAAATATTTTGCACCATTTCGCACATCTAGTGCATCATCAATTCTTGGAATTGGATACGTGTCACCTTCACGGTGATTTTGTTCAGTTTACGCAAATCAACACAAAAACGAAGAGTGCCGGTTTTTTCGGGAACAAGAGTCACGGGACTCGCCCACGGACCAAAGCTCGGCTCACAGATGCCACTCTCGAACATTTCGGCTGTTTGTTTAACGCATGCTGTCTTTTTTTCAGGGTTCAATAATCTGTATGGATCCTGTTTGATTGGCTTTGAATTACCAACATCAATACGATGTTTGACTACATTAGTACGATCTGGCTGTGAAGAAAAAATACCTGAATACTGATGTAAAAATAGCACATTGTCTAAAAAATAGCTTTGCATAGAGTACAAGTTGTGTACTTCAAATTGCCAGAAAAACTGGAGCGGAGTACCTCCGAATTTGTTAACTTTTTAATCTGAGAAGTTGCCAGAATATACACTAATTTCATAGTGAATGCAATCTCCCGTTTGGATAAAACGATAAAATTTTGTTCTTTTCTCTATTTCTTGCTGTATATCTCTCTGTATAGTGTGCATAGAAAGAAAAAAGCATCAAAGCAAAGAAAAATGACATAAAAGAGACCAGTAGAGAAGCGGAATCGTTAATGTCTACCGTTGAATATAGTGTAATATATCGTGAAAACCCAGAGTGGAGGAGAAATCGGATCCAAAAAATGCGGGTACCCGACGAAATCTTTGCGCCGTACAACATAACTCGTTGCGCTGATTCCGAATATGTAAAAACGAATTTTTACAACCGTTTTTCAGCGCGTGACGTTGTGACAAAAAAGACCCTAAATTTGAAGTTCTTCTCATTAAAAACTAATTTGCTATGATTTAGAAGAGCTAATAAAAGCTCCTCGACTAAAGTTTGTAGTGGAGTAAACGAGTTACTGTTTGCAAAAAAAGAATCTTCCAATGAGCTTTCCATTCCTCAATAATTGTGTTTTATCGTCGTGACGCTGTGACATACTTTTTCCAAACAAAGTTTGGAGCACTAAACAATGTTCAAAGGATTCCATTTTCACATCGGACTTAGTTTTAGGCATCTAATATAGACTAACGTAAAAATAAAGCTGAAAGAATGTTTTTACTTTCTTAGAATTGTGTGAGAATTTTAAAACTTTGCGAAAAAGCTTGTTTTGAGTCTAAACTTCAAAAGAAACATACCATCTTGTAGAGAATCGAATTCTCTATCGATTAGTGTGACCTTCCATTTTTATTAGGAAAAGTGTCTAGGTGAGGAAATTGAAAATACAGTTTTCAAAAAATGTAAAACTGGATTTTTGGTGCCAAAATCTAACTTTTTTAAAAGAATAATGTGAGATTCGTAATCAGCACCAAAAGCTGCATCTAGTGATATGTTCCATTCAGTTCTACTCTAAAATAATTTTTTCAAAAACCTGAACAACGAAGTGTCGAATTACGTGGGCAAGCTTTGTAGCAGTTTTCCATTTTTTATATATCTAGGGCATTGAAGCATATAATGTTCTGTTATTTCAACTGCATCTCATAGCCACAAATTTGTAACGGAGAGTTGTTTCTTATAAAGGTCTCCATTCAACTGTTATGACTTAATATCAGTTTCAAGAGGTATATTATAAACGCGATAAGTCAATAGAGCTTTATATAAATAGTTCTTGACTCGTGTCATGATTATTTATTTATTTCTAAACTTTAACTCTCATCTCTCCAGTCCGATGGCAATGAAATCGGGTTACCCCATTGCATTTGTGTCCAAAGGTACCGAGACAATGAGCATTAGATAGCTTGTCCAAGGCTATCGCGCGACCGGCGTTGTCGGATTCGAACGTCGTATGTTTGAAGTACGTTGTCTGCTCACTAACCGACTGAGTCACGTTACTTCAGAGTAGCGTGACCATTCTCAGTATGTGCTATAATGAAACCCCTAATAATTTTATGAAATAATTAATAAAATTAGCTCATGTAGGCGAAATAACATTTCAAGCGGTATCCAGCCTAACTAGGGGTGGATCGGTGTCGGTAACTGATACACCGACAAAACTGATATCGGTGTTCACTGATACACCAAAACACTGACATCGGTGTTCACTGATGCACCGAAACACTGATATCAGTTAACACTGACAACACTGATGCACTGACACTGACTTCCACTGACATAACTTGACAGAAGACCACGACATCTTCTGTATCCAGTGGTACCTCGTGCTTCTGTATTTTTTAGTTGTGGTTTCATTATACCTTATTCATTTCATTTTTTACAAAATATATTACTGCAGTAAGAGTTATTAGAGTTATTATACTATCAGGATGATGATAATAGGATGAAGATAGGCCCGAAGATCTATCAGTGCTATATCACTAGGTCTCTGTTTTTGATTCATCAACCATTTTCAACGGAGTAGGGCACGAACAGATACCACGCTCGTTAAATATACTGATCTTCTTTCAGAAAAAATGTCTT